CTCCCCCGGGGCGGTGGGGGCACGCCTGCTGTGCTCCGGGCCCAGCCACACTCAGGGCTGACTGCCCCAGCAGGGCCCTGCTACTGCCACCCCTCGGGGGCCAGGCTGGACTGACACCCCAGTGGGACGCCTGCCCGGCCAGACGCAAGCAGCAGCTGCGAGGATCCCGAGGGTGTCAGTGCTTACACTGCACGACCGGAAGCCTGGCCTATGCCCGTTGTGGGCCGAGTCCGGCCAGGACCCACGTACTCCTAGCAGCAACACCCACAGGCACGAAGGCGAGCCCACGGCTGCAGGACGGCCCAGCACTGGGGCAGCTGGCGCAGCTAGCCTCCCTTCTCCTGCACCACAGGGGGGCAGAGCCGCTCGCCCACAGGGACTGCGGAGGGAAAGCTGCAGGCCCCACGCCTGGGGCAAGCGCCCTCCCCCTGTGGAACGCCACAGGCAAGCGCTCGGGCCAGCTGCTGGCAGGGGGAGCAGCACTCAATGTCGCACTGGCAGAGGGACTGGCCACCCAGCCCAGGCCGAGAGAAGCTGCCCCACTGGCCTGGCTGCAGCCCTCCGCAACCGTTCCCGTAGCTTCTGTCACGGGGAGAGCTCCTCCAGCAAGACCAGCCCAGGCCCCACAGGCTGGATCCGCTGCCCGGCTCTGCAGGTGGGAGCACGTCTGGACACCTGCACTACTGCGCATGTGCATGTGCGTGGGCTCTGGCTGGGGAAGGGGAGAGCCCGGCAGGCTGCATGGGCCCTGCTGGGGCGGCCACGGGAGACTGGTGGGAGGGGGACGGGAAAGAGCCCCGCGGGGAAGTGAGGCACTGAGAGGCCAGGGTCAGGAAGGGGAAGCTTCTCAGGTTCAGACAAACAGGGATCAGTTTGCTGTGCCTTGTGCAAGCCCAGAGGCGGTTCCACCAGAAGCCAATTGTAGAAGGTGCTCCCGGGCAGAGCCAAGACCTGCCCAGCATCACCTCAGCACGCTCCCAGGGGAGGGACAGTCAAGCCAGGGCAAGTGCCTGGCAAGAGCTGAGACCCGGGTAGCAAGGGCAGGTGAGCAGGAGCATTGGGGATTGCCCCAGGAGGGACAGCTGAACCAGGGCAGCTGCAGTGCCTGGCTCTCCTCTCCACACTAGTGCCCTAGTCTGGCTCTAAAACGGTGCAGCCAAACCAGTGCTGAACCTAAACGCAAGGAGCATTTCCACATGCACGACTGGACCCACACACCCAACAGCACGGCGTGTACCCATGAGCAGAGCAGACACCAGAAAGTGGTGGAAAACGTGCACCGAGATGCACAAGTGGGAAGGAAGGGCCATGCCAATGGCAGGTCACAAGTTAGAGTGTGACACCAGCCACGCAACAGCCCGAGCAGCCTGTGTACATGGAGAACCCACCGAGAGCCCTGGGACCCCCTCAGCTTGCCACACAAGCTTAGCAGAGACCTGGGGCAGGGGAGGGGCTGGCAGGACACTGGGTGACGTGCGGTGGAGCACAAACAGGGTGTTTCAGGGAACAGTGTCACTCCTACAGAATGGGACGCACACAAACCTTAAAGGCAACACAGACTTTCCTGGCAACTAACTTCTCCATGGCAGTCAGCATGACTGGATAGCGGATCTCCTTCCCCTCGCTGTCCCGTTCAACCTTTCCATCCAGAGCAGGGGACTTCCTGGCTTCCGCATGGGCGTAATCTGGCCCAACCGTGTACACCTGGACAGAGAAAGGGGAGCTAGGTGGCTGGCAGCACCGGTTTATCTAGCCAAGCTTTCTGGTCACTGCTGGGCAGACAGACAAATGCCCTGGAATCCACCAGGACCCAGGGGGCTGCAGACAGAAGGGAAGGGGGTTGATGCCACAGGGCCTCAATGTGTGAAGCAGACGAGCGATAACTCTCCCTGACCAGGCAGTGTCAGGATCTCCTACGCTCTCAGCAGGACTAGCAAGGCCACAGCTGCCCAAGGCCTGGCTAAAGAGGCTGTCAGCCCTCAATTCACTCTCGCCTTCCTCACCTTGACATCAGTGCCATCTGTAGGCATGAACTCCTCATAGATGTAGGAGCCAGTCTTCCGAACACTGCTCTCCGGGGAGTACACGCTGCTCCGGCTACCGATCTGAAAGCAAAGGACGAAGAGGCCACAGGGGAGGTAAAAAGGGAGCTGAACTAGATGCTCATGCAGGACCCAGGGCTGCCACAGGGTGAGGAGCCGCCCAGGCCAGGCCGGCCCATAGCAATGCTTCGCCAGTCGGTCTGCTGGATATGCCTCACTCAAACAGCAGCACTGGGACAGCGCTGTCCCGTCGGCTCCCCTGGCTCATGGCAAGGCGCTCCACTGCTGGGCCTCTGCCCAATGGCTCCACCGGCCTGTGGCCACAAAGCACCTGCAGCCGGTAGGCCCTTTCCTTTTGGGGGAGGGGAGGGTTGGAAGCCAGGTCATTTTGCACCTGTCTGTTTGGTGGGGCTCCTCCAGGCACCTCAGGGTCACCCCTGGGCATCGGTTTCTGGCAGACCCCACGTGGTTTAAACCCCTCGGATGGAGGCATGCACGGGCCCTGGGAGAGCACAGGGACCCAGGCGAGAACTGGTGGTGCCAAGGGTTCCAGCTAGCCTACCAAAAGTGGGTTAACTATTTGCAGAAGGTCTATAGCCAGCGAGCAGAGGAGCACTCATGGAAGAGAAGAGAACGCTCCCATGACCTCCATCGGTGACAAGAGACAACGGGGAGGCGGTGGGTCAGCATGGCCCCAGGTGTGGCTCCACAAAGGCATGGCTGCAGGGGGCTCCACAGCAGGCCCAACAGGTGGAAAAAACTGGGGTGACTATGAGGAAGCACGCTGAGAAAAACGGCATTCCCCAAGCACATGGGAAGAACTTACTGGATACTAGCCACCACATACAGTTGTCGGAGGTGCTAGCAGTAAACTTCTTAATTCATGCCAAGTCAGACTAGAAGCTTGAAACCTTTCCTTTGTAAAAGTTGCACCGATAGGATAGAAACCAACCCACAGGATCC